AAACAAGATGAAGTAGGATTCCGAACGACCAATGAAAATACAAAATGAAAATCCTACTCGTGACGCAAATTCTACTTTACATTGTACTTTTAATGTTATGTAAGAATTACGGATCACCTTGCAATGTAGAGTCGAATTTGCGTCACGAGTAGGATTTTCATTTCGTATTTTCATTGGTCGTTTGGAATCCTACTTCATCTTGTTTTTAAAAAATTTTTATGTTCTTGTTTGTGTTGATTTTTTTATAATACCGTATAGCCACAAAGTTTCGAGGCAATAAACTTTCGCGAATCAGGCCACAAGTCTTTTTTCGCGAATTAACTTTCGCGGTTCCTGCTTTAAAGCACACGTGTTTATGGGCAATACGGATATTTCACGGAATTAACTTTCGCGAATACGGAAAATCCGCGAAAACAGCGAAAGTTGTACCCTCGAAATTAAGCGGCTATACGGTATTTTGTATTTTCGTTGGTTCTTCGGAATCATACTTCATCTTGTTTTTTTTTATTTTTATGTTCTTGTTTGTGTTGATTTCTAAAATAATATTTATAGTATTTCTTTAGTTACAATTGTATTACTTGTTGATTTTACACAAACAATTTTCTTTATTGTTATTATCATTGTTATAACATTTATGAGAGACAGAATTGAATAGACATGCTGAAGGAATATCAACTATCCTGATGGACGAGTGAAACTAATACTAGTCTTGACTAGTCCTTGTTCAAGAATCTGTGAGCTAAGAGTGTCCAACTTCCCTGCTATTCCTGTTCTTCCCGACTGTTATCATGAGTCATAACATTAATTAATTGTTTGTTTTTTAAAATAAAATAACACACTTGATAAAACAGTAACATGTAATATCAATTCCTTCTTTTAGCTAGAAACCTCCACTAAAGTTTTGCAGTAAGTTGATTCCAACCAAGCATAGCTTGGTAAAAAAATAACTTGCTTCTTCCAGAGCTGCACATTTGAGCATGCGCGACCACACCCAAATTTTGGAGCACATGGCAAGCTTCTTTAATTAACAAAATGGCGGCATGTAGCTAAGATGGCTCGATCCAGCAGTTACAGTATCACTTTTTCCTTACTTGAAGAATAATATGATGGGACATGGACCTGCGCATAGACTGTTGGAGTAGATTGGTGTAAGAATTATTCCTGTAGCACCAACTGATACTGAGATACACACCGACAACAGGATTGACAGGACTTGATGAAGATGATGATGAAGATGAAAAAAGGTGGCTGAACAAAATGGCCAGTTCGCCGATTTTTGACTTTTTGCTTAGACAAGGTCTAGACCCGCGCTAGTTGTACCATTGCGGTCCTCTGGTCAAGATAAGGTCCTCTATAAGTCTGGTAAGCATAGGAGCTCGTTTTCCAGGTATAGCAAGGCTGCAAAAGTCATGGCAGCCATTTCGTTTGGGGGTGAATCCTACTTAGTAACGCTACCGCGTTACTAATACATTCACCACTGTCTTCTCTATAAGTCTCTGTATTACATTTTTGTGTGTGTGTCTGTACAACTACTTTATTTATTCTACTTAACACTTATCATTATTCAAGACCGTTTGGTCTTTGGCCGGCAGTATGTATGGGTTGTGATTAATTATTTCTAATTTTTTGTTTTTTTGCAGTAATTAATTATTACTGTGAATTTGAAGAAAACAATTTTCACAAATGTCCACCGTTAACGTTTCTTCTCCTTCCATCTGAGCATTGGCTCGAACAGTAACCAAGAGTGACTGATGAGACAGTTTGTATCATTTGAGGTTGGTTTTAGATGATGTTACATGTACTACGCAATTTGTTTTCTTTTTAACTTTAACTTTACTTTAAATAACTTTACTGTATACAGATGGACAGCCAGCTTCCTGAGCTGACCGCCAAACAAAAAAAGATTAAACAGATAGAGAGAGAGAAAAAAAAGAGAAAATAAGAATAGTAAATAAGGAAATAATAAAAATAAAAATAAAATGAAATAACTACTAACATAAACAAATCAGGAATACATAGAGTTTACAGGAAGATTGGCACAAGAAAAGCAAGGACATACATAGTGATAAGAACAAACATTATTAGGGTCAAAATGAACAATAAAGTGATTCCAAAAAGTTTTCTTTACGTGTAATTTAATAGTTTCTTTAGATAGAGAGATTTTTACAGGTGGAAGAGAATTCCATAAACAAGGGAAGAGGGTGAAAAAAGTGTGATGTGAGGAGTGATGAGAAATAAAATTAAAAGGTAACTTGTGAAATGTAGATGATCGAGTAGAGGTAGACGAAAAAGAGAAATAATTTGAAGCATTAAAGTTAGAAGGTGAATCAGAGAAGTGAAAATTATTTAGAAAAAAGGAAATATCAGCTAGTTCAAATGTCATCATGAGGGGTAACATATTTAATTTAATGAGTCTAGTTTTGTAATCAGAATGGTAATCGCTTAAAATGAACTTAGTAGCTCGACGTTGTATTCTTTCTAGAAATAAAATGTCCTTTAAAAAATGAGGACGCCAGACAGTAGAAGCATATGTTAGCTTTGATCTAATTGAAGATGTATATAGCAACTTCCTAGTAGGTATATCAACAGCAGAACTAAAAGTTCTCCGTAGAAGACCTAGTGTTTTATATGCTGTAGCAGCTAACTGCTTGTAATGAGAAGACCATGACAGATCCTCCGATAATAGAACCCCTAAATCCTTTTGGGACACAACTGTAGAGACAGGAGAGCAGTTTAGATAATAGGTAGGGGAAAGAAGAGAGGAAGTAGAAAAGAAATGTACGACTGAACATTTAGTTACATTAAATGGTAGACACCAAGTATTACTCCATTGTGATAACTCATTTTGATCACGTTGAATCTGTACTGTGTCCGATGGAGAAGAGACAGACTTAAGACACTTAGTGTCATCTGCAAACATAAGCAGGCGAGAATAAATTTGCAATGTTTCATTTTTATTGTATAGTTTAAATTACCAAAAGTAACCTATATGACTGACTTTTTAACATTTGAAATTGGTTTTAAAATAATGTTCCGTGTTCTACTAATTTATCACTATTTGCTCCATCTTTTGTCATTTTCATGGTATGTAGATATTAGAAGTAACTAATCAGACTCAGTTCTTATCATTTGAAGTTTCAAAATGATGCCTTATGAACCACTAAATTATCACTTCTTTGAGTAAGTCATGCGACAGCTCTTATTACTTGTACTTTGTGTAGTAGTCACGGTGTAGTTATACCCAGATTGACCAAATTCTTAGTCAATTAAGGTTGTTTTTAGACATGTTTCATTTTTCTCTCACTTCACATTTGTTCTTTTCGCAGTTTGATATTGTTTATACCTGATGTGACTAATCATTTTATCATTTGGGCTTTGCACTATTTGCTACTTCTTTCTTCAGTTTTATGGTACTGTTTATACCAGGAGTCAGTGATCAGTGATCACATTTACAATTTGACAATGAAATAATGTATCTACTACTAATTTATCACTATTTGTCTTTCCTTTCTCAAGGTTTGTACTATGGATTTACCATGAGTGATTGATCAGGCAGTTGCTTTTTAACGACCTTGGAGCGTAGCCCCCAGGTCGTTCCTATAATTGATTTCACCGTCGCGCTATCTATATATATATATTTGTATGTCCACACTTACATTTCTTCTATACATGTTGTATTGGAGAAATAACAAAATTCATAAGCCTTAGCAACCACCCGCCCACGCTCCTTTACGTAGTGGGTGTGGTCACGGCAAACAAAATGGCGGCTTAAACTTGGGACAAAGTGAAGAGCTTTCTAACAGCAAGAGAACATAGAGATGCTGTCTGAAGACTTCTCTAGAAGCATTAGAAGGTAGAGAGAGCCTCTATAAGTCTTAATAAAATCCAGTTAGTCTTGCAAGGTGGTGAAATCAATTATAGGAATATTTTTTACACTGTTACGCTTGTTCATGATGTTTCATGTACAATAACTTCTCACTATTTAATACTTTGTTTTATAGTAAGGTGTAACCAGAAGTGACTAATCAAACTTAAGTCTCATCACATTTAAGGTAGGTTTTAAAATAATATGTAACATGAACTTCTATCTTTTCACTATTTGTTTCTATCTTAAGTTTCATCATATATTTGTACATAAACAGACATTTCTTTAGGTTGTTTCTTCAATTAATGTCATGTTTCACTCCACATTGGTTTGTTCTTTTCTATGTATTGTAGTATGGTTCATGCGTAAGGTGACTCATGAGAATCATTTGAAGTTGCTATTAATGATGCTTAATGTACTATTGACATTGTACTATTGACATTTCACTATCGTTTCTTTTTTTCAATTTCATTATTCAGATACCAAGAGTCACTGATCAAACTAATTTTACATTGGTTTTTGAAACTATGTTTAATGCTTGACTTACTTTTTATCTCTTTTCATTTTTCAGTTTCATAACAAACTGTGAGTGAATGATGAGACTGAGGTCCAATCAAGTGACGTTTTTTGGAATACTTACGCTTAATTTGCTACTCATTTTTGATCTGTTCCTTCTTTTCGTGGTATATACCAGGTGTAACTAATCGGACAGAGTATTGAAGGTTGGTTTTGTCAATGTTTTGTTCTACTTACCTCTAACCATCTGCATCTTCTTTCCTCAGTTTCATGGTATAATATACCAGGAGTGAATGATGATATCTAATTCGTATAATTTTTATATGAGGTTGTTTTCTGAAATGTTTCATGTTCTACTCCTTACCATTTCTTTTTTTCCGTAGGTCCTTCATATAGTTTAGATCTGAAGAGACTAATCTGGCTGTCTTCTTGTTATTACATATTGGCTTTGATAGAATTTTTTTCTGTTGCATACCTATTTTTTTAGTTTCATGCTATTGTTTATATAAGTATTGACTGACCAGACTACGTTGTCATAATTTGCAGTTTTAAAATGATCTATTATGTGTTACTTCTCTCTATTTGCTTCTTTCCGTTTCATAGTACAGTTTATGCCATTAGTGACCGATCAGACTGAATTTTTATTATTTGTGTCATTTGTAAGATTTTTCATGTGCTACTTACTATTTCTGTTTGAGTTTCTTGTATATTAATAACCAGGACTGTCTTTTGAACTTGAGTTATAATTTCAGGCTGGTTTTAAAATGATGTTTTGCTAGCTTCTCACAATTTACTTCCATTTTCTCAGTTTTATACTACAGTTTTGTACAAAGATTAACTTATCACACTTAATTTCTATTAATTCTGTTTGGTTTTTAAAGAATGTTAGATGTACTGCTGGCATCACACTATTTGTTTCTTTCTCAATTTGAGGGTCTAATAGTTTAAAATACGAGAAGTGACTTTTTGAGGTAGGTTTTTGAAATCATGTTTTGTGTACCACTGACTTTTTTTACTTCAGTTTCATTATATGACATTTTATAGTACCATACGTGATATGCCACTATGTTTTTAGGGAAGACCCTTTTCTCTGGGTTCCTAAGGGCTAAGAGACCCGACGTTTTACAGATTTTGATGGACTTTAGCAACTAAGAGCCTGCTAAAGTTTCATTCTTATCCCACATTCCTAAAAAAGGTTTTTATATTTTTTGGCTAAAACTCAACTGGGATGTAGTATTATATTTGACATTAAGTTTAAAATTATGTTCATGTACTACTAATGTCTCACTATTTGTTTTTTCTCACTTTCATTGTATTGTTTATAGAAATGTTGACTGATTATACTCAGTTCTTATTTTTTTAAATTAGTTTTGAAATGATGTTTCATGAACTACTAACTCCTCACTTTTTGTTTCTTTTCTTAGTTCTATAGTCTAGTTTAAATCAGAAGTGTTTAAGACAATGAGTTACCACCATTTGAGGTTGGTTTTAAGTATACTTTTTCTTCTCCTTCTATTTGTTTCTTATCTGAAGTCCATAGGCTATAGTCCATACCAGGAGTGAATGATCTGACTGCGTTTTGATTATGTAATGTCTCCAACTGACTTTAAATTTTTTTCTCAGTTTTATAGTAAAGTTTATACCAGCAGTGATTGATCTGACTGCAGTCTTATGATATATTGTTTTGAATTAATGTTTCAAGTACTATTTCTCACCATTTTGCTTCTTCCTTTACAGTTTCATGATACAGTTTATACAATTAGTTACTAATCATTATACTCAGTTTTTATCACATTAGTTTCGTTTTATAATGTTACGTAAGCTACTGACTACATTCCTTGTTTCTTCTTACCTCAGCTTTATAGTGCAGTTTAAAATACCTCAAATGACTGATCAGACTTCAAGTTTGCGAAACGATTTATGAACTATTAGTTTTCACAATTTCGTTTCTAAGTTTTATACTGTAGGGTATACCAGGAGTGAGTAATCAGGCAGTTTTTATCATTTAAGGTAGGTTTTACAATGACATTTCATGTACTACTAACATGTTACTATTTCTTGTCTTCTCTCACTTTCATAGTATAGTTCATGCCAGGAGTGACTGATAAGACTCCGTTCTCATCATTTGAAGTTACTTTTTTAATGTGTCATGAACTACTAATTTCTCACTATTTGTTGCTTCATTTCTTAGCTTCATAGTATGGTGTACACCAATTAAACTGAGTCCTTATCATTAAAAATAGGTTTTATGAAATATATTTCAGTTCCCCAACTTTTTGTTTCATCGTGCAGTTTTCACCTAGACTGACTCAGTTTTATCAATGGTTTTTAAATAATGTTTAATGTTTCACTTTACATTAATTTTGTTTCTTCTCTCTTAGTTTCATAGTGTGGTGACTGCCCAGTGACTTGTCAGACTGAATTTTAATCATCTGAGGTTTGTTTTAACATGACAATTAATTGACTTGTGATTTTTGACTATTTCTTCCTTTTTACAAAGGAAGTGGATATTGGTCCGGCAGTCCCTATATAGTATACTGGGGCTTCGCCCCAGTATACTAATACACGATTTTATATACAGATATCAAGTATAAATACGACAATCAGCAACGTTGATGCAGCAGGGTTGCGGTGGTGTTGTGGAGAGGCTGTCTGGATTGCACGGATGAAGTCAGCGGTTCGAATCCTGTCGGGACTATTGACTAAAACTATGCTGAAATGTTTGATTTTTTTTCTTTTTTTTTTTATCACTTTTTACTTTTTTTTTAAAATAAACACTCTCTCGTACATCTTAGCCTCCGGGGTCGTAGGGTTGGGATTGGGGTTTAGTGTTTAGTTTTTAGAGCACCCTCTCGTACATCTTAGCCTCCGGGGTCGTAGGGTTGGGATTGGGGTTTAGTGTTAAGTTTTTAGAGCACCCTTTCGTACATCTTAGCCTCCAGGGTCGTAGGGTTGGGATTGGGGTTTAGTGTTTAGTTTTTAGAGCACCCTCTCGTACATCTTGGCCTCCGGGATTGTAGGGTTTTGGGATTAGGGTTTCTTGATAAAAAAGACTAAGTTCCATTTTGCACTATTGCGCATGCGCACAAACTGTTTTACGGAGAACAACGGACTGCCGGATCTATAGCCCCACAGTAGGCGTCCGGCTGCTGGACCAATATTCACTTCCTTTTACAAATTCATGTTACAGTTTATATAAGGAGTCACTGATCAGTCATTTAAAGTAACTGAGTACAACTTTAACTTCCAATTATGAATGATAAGAACACTGTCTGGTCAGTCTCCTTTCGTACTTAAAATTGTACTTTAATCTGACAGAAAAGAAGATGCAAATAGTGAGAAGTTAGTAGTTCATAACACATCATTTTATAATAACCACAAATGATTCTGATCAGTCACACATGGTATACACTGTACAATGAAACTGAGAAATGAAGAAACAAATTGTGGAAAGTACAACAAAAAACATTTCAAAACTAACCTTCAATGATTAGAACTCAGTAATATCAGTTGCAAATGATATAAAATATACTATGAACCAGACAAAAGAAGCTAAAGATCAACAGCAAGTAGTACATAAAACATTTTAAAACCAAGCTCAAATCATAGGAGCTTAGACTGTTAGGTCCCTCATGGTATACAACATACAATGAAACTGAGAAAAGAAGCAAATTAAAATTTAGGCAAAAATTAAGTATCATAACAAAAGCAAACGTCAAATAAGTTTAATTACACACTTTTCCTCCAAACTACATCGTGAAATTGAGAAAAGTAATGAAAAGTCAAAAGAACATTAAACAACACATTAAAACTAACATCAAATGATAAAAACTCAAACTAATCTGTCACTTATGGTAAAACAGTACAATGAAACAGTAACAAATTGTGAGAAATAGAACAAAAAACATTTTACAACGAAGTTACAATAATTAGATCTCACTAATATCAGTTACTACTGGGATAAAATGACACTAAGAAAAGTAGCAATAGATTACATACTGTATATCGGGTATATTTCAATGCATTAATTCGGAAGCCTTTTATATTCTGAAAATATTTTACTTGCTATTATTTCCATCAACCACCTGGTTTGGTAAGTCAATCGAAGCATTTACTGATTTCTCCACTTCTGAATTAACCTTAGCAACACTTCTAACTGGCAAAGAAGGCTCTTTATGGCCTTCGAGTTAGACTAGAATGTAGCCATGGATAGTTATGAAGCCACGTGTTCATAATAATTGCACAATACCACATATCTTCTATTCCTTTTTATCCGCATATTTTAAAATTTCATAATATTTATTTTTGCAATGGATTGCTTTTTCCGAAATTATTAATTCATTGAAATATACCCGATATGCGGTAAAACATCAATCTTCAACCAACCTCAATTGATAGGAACTCAGATTCACCAGTCACTCATTGTAACCACCATACAATGAAACTGAAATGAAGAAACATTGTTAAATTGAACACGCAGCATTATTTCCAGAAACAAACTTAAATAAAAACTCAGTCAGTGAAGGTATAAACTATAAACTAAAAAAAAAGGCAAACAAATAGTTAGAAGTCAAAAGAACATAAACATCATTTTAAAACCTATCATAACAAGAACTCAGTCTGGTCAGTCCTTGTACAAACTACACTATACACTCAGAAGAGAGGTGGAAAGTGAGTACAAGGTCTGTATATATTTCTGCCATTCAAAATGCAAATCCTATGGATTTTTCAACTTTAGGACGGTTGTCAATTTGCACATTACAATTTTGGATATTTGACGTTTTGACCCATTATTTTCTATTTCCCTGAACATAACCTCTGAAATTCTAATTTTTTATTGAACCTGGCGATTTGCCTTCACTCCCAATGCTAACACTCTGACTCTAGCTTTAACAGTCAGAGGTATAAAACAGCTAACTCAAAAAATAATCCTTTTGGATTTTTGGAAAACAGAAGTGCTGATTTCTGAAAATTGAAATTTTAGAAGTTTAAAATTTAGATTGAAAATTCCAAATGTCATTGCAAAACTCAAAATCAAAAATTTGAATGAAAAACCTTTCCTCAATGCTATGTTGACTGTTTTCTCTTCTCCATCATTGCCTCGATCATCGCCATATCAATTTATTCCCACTATGCTCCGCCTCCTTACAATTTTGGGACACACCCACTCTCATGGCAATGTTGCTGGAATAGTTAGAGTCTCTTGTTCATGAGTTGGTTGAGGAAAGGAGGTGAACTCTAAGCATAGTTAGTCTACATCTGAAGCAGGAGTATCCTGGAACAAGAGGGTTGAGTCTTAGAAAAGTGGAGAGGTTCTGTAAATTCAAAGACATTCATCATACGAGTAGATTAAATGACACAACCCTTGATCCTGTTGTTTCTGATGCCATTAATATGGTTAGTGATAAAAGTTGCACAAATGTGCATGCCTCTTATGCTCTTGAAAAATTTTGTGCTCACGAACAAGACATGTAACATGCCGGCCTGTTGGAATAGAAGCAATGTGTCAGTTTTAGTTGAAATAAATTTGGCAATAAAATTATGGTGCTTTTGTGCC